ACCTATAATGGCGATGGCCTCCAACCTAGTAGCCATGGCCTCCAACCATGACAAATCGTACCCCTTGGATTCTCCTGGAACCAACACGTCAGTGCCTGAGCATGATGGTGTCCATACCACCAGTGGGTCTCCTTAGCGGCATGTCTCATGAAGCTTATTCCCGCTATGGCCGCTATGATGATACGGGTTGCACAACAATGTACCTGCTGAAGTCTTCACAGTTTAACAACATCTCCATCCCTCCAACTAGAAAAGCCTCCATTTGGCACCCTCCATCGACCGGTCGTGGTCGTCTGGGCTTCCCAACGGCACCCAGGCCGTGCGGCAGATGCGCATCTCGGCAGCCGGAAGGACCTCAGGACGGTCGACCGCCATGGCGGCAACTGCCACGAACGGGCCCTGAGGGCACCACATTGGCAGGATCATCATCAACCAGGATCGCCTGAAGACTTGAAAACAGGCAAAGAAGAGCGTGCATTGGTGGTGAACACTAAGAGCAATCTGTTGTTGCATGTTTCTTTTTTGTGATCATCTTGCTGTTCTAATATGTTCTAATTCTAATTATATTTATACATGTCAAATTACAAATGTACAAGAGGTTTTGTACATCACAACCCACACGTAGATCCGGTCCTGCGAAGCAGAGAGGCCTCGCCGGCGGCGGAGCTCCTGGACGATCCGGTCCTTCCGCGCCTGCTTCGCAGCCGAGAGCGGGTGATCTCGGCCAATCACCTGGGACCAGTCGACTCGTTGCGCCGAAAGGACCGGCGGATCGGTTCAAACGAAGTGAAACGAAGTGAAACGTGAATCCAAGGCCTCGGAGAAGTATCTGAGCAAATCCGCTTTCTCCAAGGCAGCTTCAACCACAGCACCAAAGCCATTGGTGATGATGACCACCTGACGTTCTTCCATGCAAAGACCAACCAAACCATGGACCACTCAGAACAGTCAATCAATATCTCTTAGTCAAGTTCTTTTGCCAGCATCTTTCCACAGAAAGCAAAGACTGTCAAACAGGCACGGACAAAGTATGACAAAGCATCTTTCCACCCCTGCAGATTTTTACAGATCCCTTCAGACCTGTCGCTCAAGTGTAACCAAGGTCTCGAAAAAAGGTCTTCAGGTCATGCAGCCGTGAGGGACCTCCAAAGATTCGATGCGGCAAATCTGGCTCCTCGGGCAGGGGCCAAAAATCTCCTGGTCTGATTGCAGTGAGGACAACATGACCTGCTTTCACTGCCATCAGAAATGCTTTCACTGCACTTTCCTGACCTCATAGCATTGCTGCTGCAGAACGGTCTCTTGTGAAGAGCAATCCCAGCCGCCACGGCGGTACAAATACTCGAACAAATGCAGTGCAGCGATAGTGCAATCGAAATCAAAGGCTAAAAGGACCAGACCTGACGCTCCAGAACCACCTGGTTTGGTCCATGTTGTTTCACGTGTGGTTTTGTTGTAGTAGAACGTCTTGCCACTGGATGGATCCTTATGCTCCTCCCAATCCGGTGGTAAACCGCCCGGTGCTGGTGGAGCTGGGGGCAATGCTGGCTTTGGCTTGTCCCAAGATGTCTCTTTGGTAACCTTGTTGTAGTAGAATGGCTTCCCAGTGGAGGGATCTTTGTGCTCTTCCCAGTTTGGTGGCAAGCCTCCCCCAGGTGCTGCCGGAGCTGCCGGTGGAGCTAGGCTCTTTGGCTTGTCCCATGTCGTTTCTTTTGTGACTTTGTAGTAGTAGGCTTTCCCAGTAACTGGATCCTTGTGCTCTGTCCAGTCGGGAGGGAGTCCTCCAGGGATTGGCGGTGCTCCAGGGGCCAAGGGCGCTCTTGGTGCTGCAGGTGCCAAGGGCATTGAGGCTGGTTTGTTCCATGTTGTATCTTTTGTAAGCTTGTTGTAGTAGTATGTCTTGCCTGTGACTGGATCTTTGTGCTCTGTCCATTCAGGAGGCAGACCACCGGGTGCTGGTGGTGCTCCAGGCACCCCTGGTGCTTTGGGGGCTGCTGGTGCTGGTGGCATGGCGGCTGGCTTGTTCCATGTTGTTTCACGTGTGGTTTTGTTGTAGTAGAACGTCTTGCCACTGGATGGATCCTTATGCTCCTCCCAATCCGGTGGTAAACCGCCCGGTGCTGGTGGAGCTGGGGGCAATGCTGGCTTTGGCTTGTCCCAAGATGTCTCTTTGGTAACCTTGTTGTAGTAGAATGGCTTCCCAGTGGAGGGATCTTTGTGCTCTTCCCAGTTTGGTGGCAAGCCTCCCCCAGGTGCTGCCGGAGCTGCCGGTGGAGCTAGGCTCTTTGGCTTGTCCCATGTCGTTTCTTTTGTGACTTTGT